ATATAATGCTGGATTAATCATTTATTTATTCGGTCAGAGGTCTAGAACTGATTAATAAAGAGTGTATTGTATTTAGAAATGTATTTTTTAATATCATTATAATATAATTATGATATGATTTTTTTTCTGGAAATAAAATAAAAGATTTTTTTTTAAATTATTTAAAAATATTTTTAAAATATATATAGATATATTATATTTCTTTTTTTAAAATTTTGATATATTTATAGAATGTTCGACATTAAAATCGGAAAAATTTTAGCAATATATTTATTATTTCTATTTTTATTATAAAAATAATTTTTAAATTCTGTGGTATCATCGAAATCGTAACACGAATCGTTCACAGTGACAAATTACATCCATAAGTATTCGATTAACAATAGAAGATATTGTAGATATCGATAATTGTGTGATTTTAAAAACGTATGCTTTATCCCATCATATGGTGAAATTTTTATATGTGAATAAAATGGAGAATTTCTTTTTGAAATTATTCAAAAAGATTTTAAAAGATTCATTTATATTTATTATTATTTTTTTAAATTTGATCATGAATATTTAGAATATTCAAGATCAAAACAAAAAAATTTTGGCAATATGCACGAGATTATTATAAACGAAAAATTTTGTACAATATAAATCAATTTAATTTTGTTTTCGAAATAAATGAAGAAGATGAAACTAATAATTTAAAAAATGCATTTAAATTACTTAATTTTTAATAATAATTATTTAATTGTAACTTATTTTTTACATTTATTTACATTGATTTTAATTATTTATATAAAGTTTTCATAACCTTCAATTACCTTGTTATATCTATGTACACAAATAATCGTACGTTTGACAGATTTAATATATTTGTTACGCACTTTTTAATCTCATAATGAGATGAAATCTCAAAGATGAATATATTTCTTATAAATATACAAAATTTCTTATAATATACAAAGAACTTTATTATTTGTTTTTTTTTTATTATTATTCGAAATAATCAAACTTTTCTTAAAAAAAATTTGAAAATTTATTTATTTATTTCGAGTAATTATTTGTTTTCACATTTTTTTTTTCTTATTTAAACGAAAAAAAAAAGTCTCCAATCTTGTTTAGAATAAGTAGCGAAAAAGTTAAGAGCGGTTATTGAGTTCGATATCCATAAACACGACACAGGAGCACAAAATCCCATGCGTGCAGACTCGTTTCATTGAGAAAGGCGGTCCGCGTGTATGCCGCTTAATGGCAATTCATCCGACAGCCGATGGGCATGCGATTCGCCTTGTGGCAATCGCGTGCACGTGGCCGTGACAACTTGAAGCCGCGGAACGAGGCTGCTTTTCACCCGCGAGAAGCCATGGGATGTTCGGCAAAGGAAAAGGGAAGTCAAAGCGCTTGAAAAAGAAGAAGGCGGGACCCTTCTTCTTTTTTTCCCCAGTCCCTTGAGCTGTCGTGCACCGCTCAATAGGAGCTAATTGCCGCAAGGAGAGCTGCAAATTCGCGGTATTATATAAGTCTCGTCTCGTTTTCGTGCCCGCTGTCAAAGCCAGGATGTTCGTGTTGTCGGCAGACTTTTTAAACTGTCTTTTCAATAGAATCATGAAATTTCAATATAGTGTGCGCGCGTACGCGCATATACGTTGCTAATTTCGATGATAAATTGTGGAATATATGTAAGTATGTAGAGTATATAGATATGTAAAGAAAAGGTATGAGGAGGATTTGATCATTGTGGAAGAAGGAATAATAGAGGCATTTAAAAAGATATATTTTCGAGATACATTTTGAGAAAATAATTTCTGAATGGAAACGCTAAAAGAGGATCGAAAATATATTTTTATAAATATAAAAACAAAATAATAGATGGTATTTAAAGAAACGAGTTCTTCAAGGAGATTTTTAATTAGATTTTTAATTTAAATTAAATTTTAAATTAAAAATATTAATCAAATTATTAAATTAATTAGATTTTTAAATTAAAGATATATCTTAAAACAATATATATAAATTATTATATTTAAATTCATGATGACAGGAATTTATCTGAAAATGCATAAGGTTATTTTATTTGTTGTTTGTTAATTGTATAGTATTATATATTTGAAAATTATTTCAAAATATAGATTTTGAATAATTAAGTATTATAGTAGATTAAATATATAATAAATCTCTACAATTTTATGAATTACAAAAGAATAATTTTATTCTCATTTTAATAAATATTTTTATTTAATAATTCAAATTATTCGTTATTATATTATACATATAATATTTTACGAAATTTTAAAAAATCTAAGTATTTATAGTGTTATAATGAAAGAAAAATAAATTATTTGTTTTCATCTCAGATACGGTCTGTGAAATATATTACTTATTTATCAAACGAAATATATATGTATGTATTAAAGAACCGCATAGAAATTGCATGCTATTAGAGTGAGAGAACTTGTTGAAAGAGAGTGAACTTGTTGAAAAGCTAATTTCAATGAAATTAGAATATATATGTTATTATGTTATATATGTTACTGTTAAGTAAATATCTGTTGTTCAAATCGATTTATTGTAATGATATTTAAACATTATCGAAATATATTTATTATTTTCTAATATAGTCGATTTAATAAAAAAAAAAAATTATTTGCGATTATATCAATCACAATGTATTTTATTTTGCAGATAAATTATTGATTTTAATATTAATAATTTATAAAAGAATTTTTCCAAGTTAGAATTTATTATTAGAATTGTATAAAAATTAAATAATTTGTAAAAATTGTACAACTTGATACGAAAAATAACAAAACAATTCTAAAAGATTTAACACCAATTATAAATATTAATTCTGTTTTTATATACACATTTCATTTTAAAAACACATACATATATATATCACAGATCCTAAAAAAAATTCAAGAGTTCTCAGGACTCATCTGTAATACTTTAAGCAGGATTTACACGAATCCCTGTAGCTTCCAAAGTCAAGGATATCTTTGCTTAGCTTTCTCGCGTACTCTATTGACTGCTGTTACTCGCGTATCGTCCAGGTAGGCAAACATAGAAACAGAAAAAGATCTCCTTTCGTAAGCAAAAGCAGAAAACAAGAGCAAGAGAGAGGAAGATCGGTGTGAATGATCCTAGACATCGGTCGTATTTATACTCCTGTTTGCTTCCTGATTCGCCACGGTGCGCGACCCTTGAAAGTCCAGCTTGGTATCCAGTCAAAACACGCATTCGTTTTCTCGCCACCTATTTTCAGGGATTGCTCGTTTACCTGCTCGTCTTTTTTCGCGCGCATCCGCGTGAAATCGCGTGAAATCCTCGTCCGGCTCGGGAAAATCGCGTTAAGCGGAACTTCAGGGAAAAACTTGGCTCGAAAGATAGTTGGAGATATTTGGGATAAAAAGGGAGTTTCATGAATGGAAGACGAAAGTCGAGGAAGGATTAGTCTCGTGCTCGAGGGTGCCTCAGATCGCGTGAGATCAGCTTTAATAGGTTTCGAGGATTATTGATTCGAAATGGTTTTGATAGAGGAAATTCGGTCGTGGTCGTCGAGATGTTAGAGATATAGTTAAGAGATCTTATTTGATTTTCGTTCTGAAAAGTCAATTTGGTCGTACTTGTGTATTTTTCGGTACTTCTGGACGCATTTTCTTATATATGCGCATGAAAAACATGTATGTATTGTTTTTTAATGTATGTTTAATATTTTTTTTTAATAAATAAAAAAAATAAGTTCATTGAAAAGTTGAATATAATTAACAATTATATTTTAGATAAAATATTAATATTATGATAATTTAATTTTTTAAATATTGTGAATTATCTTTTTAAATGCATTATATATTAATTCTGTAAATTTTCTATCATTATTATTATTTATATCATATCATTATTATGTTTATATTTTTATTCATAACATTTTAATTTAAGTAATTAAAATATGTAATATATATATTATATAATATATTTACATATCCATTATTTCTGTTATATAATGATTTCAATTATAATCTCTTAATCTTTCTATCGAAGAAAATGAGGATTTATTATCATTGTTAAATATATACATATAGTTAAAATAATTTCAAATATAAAACTTGTATGAATTTTATATTCATTATTTATACGGTATTTATTATTAAAATAGTATCTATTGGAAAATCATTCGTAGAAAATCAATATAAATTTTACAAATAATAAAAAAATACTTTATAATGCAATTTTTCTTCTTTTATTGTGTATCTGGACATCTAAATGTTTTAATTTTTTAGCAAAATGTTATTTTATTGCTATTTAACATTAAAATAAAATGCAAAACATTAATAATTATTTAAGATGTAAAAAAATTCATTTTATATTTTTTTTTATAATTATTATCTTCCTCCATAGTTAAGCGAAATATAAATATTTATTTATAAGAAATAATTTGATAAGATCGTCATAATTTTGAATTATGTATAACAATGAAATCAATAAAAATTTTTATAATTTGTTGCAATATTATAGAATATTTCAAAACAACAAATTTAAATATTTTTATTAAAATTCTATTAATTATTTAATTAAAATTCTGTAATTAATAAATTTGTAAATTTGTATCAATTGCTACAATAAAAATTTTATATAAGCTTTTATCCAACAAATTGTATATTAATTTATTTTATAATTTACAAAAAAGAAATAACGAATTCTATTAATAACAATTTTATACCAATGTATATAAAAATTTCATACCAATGTTATAAAAATTATATTTTCGCAATTTTTTTATCTCTTGCAATTTTTCCTTCTCTAAATAAATTTTTTCTTCTCTAAATAAATTAATAAATTCTCTTCATACAAATTGAGAACACTCCATCTTAGAATATCTTGAACATAATATAATCTTTAATAAATTATTCTATTAAATTAACGATTAAAATGACTAAATCTTACTAATTATTTCACGATACTATTAAAATTATCAAATTATCTTTAATAATTCGAAGAGTATTTTGTTACAGAGGTGCAAGGAAAAGCTGAACACTCTTGCTATTTCGGTAATGAATCAGTGGCCGGGAGTGAAATTGAGAGTGACAGAAGGATGGGACGAAGAGGGAAAACATGCGACGGATTCGCTGCATTACGAAGGACGTGCCGTCGACGTGACGACGAGCGATCGGGATCGCTCGAAATACGGAATGTTAGCAAGACTTGCCGTCGAAGCTGGTTTCGATTGGGTTTACTACGAGTCCAGGTCGCATATTCATTGTTCCGTCAAATCGGGTCAGTATTATATTAGTTGTTTTTCATTTTATTCGTTAATTAAATTATTTTTCATATAGAATAATTTGATACATTTCTGACTGAAAAATAATCTAGTTTTCAATTTATTAATTGAAAATATATAAAATGTCCAAAAAAGGATTAAGTTTACTATATATTACTATATATTAATGAGGTCAAATAGATAAAAAAAAGTTGATACTTATGTTGAAAAATGATATAGGAAAGAGTTACAATCGTTCAAAAATTTTTATTTTATATATATTTTTATTTTATTATATATATTCAATCAAAAATTTATTCTGATGGAACTATTAATGTAATAATATTGCAAAAATCAATGAATAATTTATTGCTTAAGATTTCGTCGTTCCAAAATATTTTATCTTTTGTAGTGAAATACATATAATAGAATATTATAAAATAGATTAATAAAATATTAATTTGGAAATAAATTACAATTTACATATACAATGTATATACATAAAAGAATTTCCTTTCTTTAAATAATAAATTTACAATTTTTATTATTTAAATTAAGATTTTTAACATTTCTTAATAGATAGTACATATAATACATAACATATAGTATATAATTTTATAATACATTCTTTTGTTTATAATAATAATAATAAGTTTTTAATATTGTATTGCAATAAATCTTTATATTATTAGTTTCTAATTAACTATAACTTTTTATTACTTTTATAACGAAAATGAATAAATTACATCAGTTGAAATAACATTTTCAAATTTGGAAAAATGTTGTTGCAATGATGTATGCAAGCACAAAAGATTTAAATTTTATCTTAATAATATAATAATTTAGTTGCTTTATATTTTTTCTTAATTTTTAAAATATTGACTGTAGTTCTTGACTTCAGTAAGTAAAAAATCCTAATTATTTACTTTTTAGAGTTTAATAAAACAATAATTTAATATAGATACTTTATATTATATATATAGATACTTAATATAATACTCTTTTTATTAAAATATATGTTCCTTTATATGATACATAATATTTTATATTTTAAATATTTACGCATATTTAAAACGATGATTCTAAGAACAATAAACTATTATTAGAAAAATATGACAACAATAGTATCAATCTATACATAATGATAATATGATTCTATTTGCTTACATTTAAGAGATTAAAGATATTTAAATATCATAATTATCGATCTTGGATAAATCGTATTATCGCTATCAATCGATATTTTATTTGAAAACACGTATATTCCGCCTCACGATTACTTTATCTATTATAATGAAATAATATTAACTAGTGAATGAATTATGTAATGACATTATCTACAATCAGTTTGATCATCTAATTTTTATTTAAATTTCTTTAAATCGTGCGCACAATTTATTGTCTGAATATTACTTATATTTTATCATTGAGAAACAATGTAATTAGATTTTTGGAAATTATGTCAATTTATTTCCTTTTTATTGCATATTATTGAAACATTAATATATATATATATATATATATATACTTTTCTAAGTCATAGTAATATATAAAATATTCATTGAAATAAATAATTAAATAAATGAAATAAATGAAATTAGTAAAATATAATAAACTAAATGATTAATAGAAAATCAAAGCTATAATACAATTAGTATAGAATTTAACTATTGGATTGAATTTTTTAGGTTTAAATTTTTTTAAGTACAATTTTATTTAAATTATTATAGAATTTTATAATATTAAAATATAAATTATTTATAAAAAATTATTTATATTATAAATTTTGTTTTGTTTTTTTTTCAAATAGAGAGATTTTATCAAATAGAGAAAATAATTTTACCATATAATAAATTTTATTTAATTTCTTTTTTTTTTATTAATTTTAATAATATATAATGAATTAATTTTAAAGAGTATAATTAGATATAAATATCATGATAAAATCCAATAAATTAATATGTATAATTATGATAATGCAAATTCAAAATTCGAATAAAATTATTAAAATTAAAAATGAAAAAAAGAAAGAATTTTTTTTTTCAAACAAGAATATTTGTATTTATACTTTTATTTATTATATTATATTTTTATTATATTTTATTCTTATTCTTCTTGAATTTATTATTATTATGATAGAGCAGCACTGCTACACAACAATTCTTACTGCGCCACTAGCTCCTCCATTAAGAAGAAGTTATCTATTTTACCGACTTCCATAGATTTTCGGGATATTGTAGAAAATGATCGCATTCAAAAAAGTTATTCTATAAGCATGCTTACTGTGAAATATCTAATTACGGATATGTCAGAATCTATTAAAGATAACAAGAAACAATCATTCTATATCATTTCGTGAATAATAAAAAATTAAATATTTTTAAAATTAATCAATATTAATATATTTTTAATCATAGATTGTAAAATATAAATATGCATTATGTTTTCATTAAAAAAACAAAATTTTATTTTTTTTATACATATATTAAATATTATTAAATATATGAAAATTTAATAATAATAATTCTAGTATTCTAGTATTATAATTCTAATATTAATTATAGATTATAATATATCTATATATAAATATTTCTATATTAAAATAGTTCAATCTTTATTATTTAAATAAAAATATGTTAATATGTTATAACAATTTAATAAAATTAATGAAAATAATAATTTCTTAATTTGTTATGATTAAAAATAAATAAAAATAAAAAACAATAAAAAAAAGTAAATAAATAAAGATATAAAAAAAATATAAATGCTATATATAAAAAACAGAAATATAAAATTCAAAAACAAATATAAGCAAATTGTAAAATATCTTAATATTATTATTAAATATTATTTCAATATAAATATTCCAAATATAATATAATATATATATAATCATAACGATGATATATACAATATATTTATTTGTAGTAATCGTATTTCAAATTCATACCATACATACATACATACATAATTTTTAAAAATTTATTAGATTAGATTCATTATATAATATTATATAAATAAGATATATAAAAATTTTTTTTTAATGTAAAAAATTCATTCTTTTTTTTTAATAATTTCTTAAAAATTTATTATATAGTGAAAAATTAATTTTTTTATATTATTTATATCAAATATATTATTTATAATCAAAAAGGAGGAAAAATAAAATTGATATATTCATTGGCTTCTGAAACAATAATATTTTCTTTCAATTAATTTCTGGTTAGAAATTCAGAATTAAAGCATTCACTTATGTTAACATTAAAAATAAGTTTCTAAACAAAAAACTTTTATACAATATATATTATTAAAAATAAAAATTATCTTTATATCATTCTTATTTACCATCAGTTGATAAATGCCGATATTAATAAATAAATAATAAAAAAGTCACCTATATTTGGACGTGGCTTAAATATCTGTCATAAATTTTCATAATTAATAAAAATTTAATATGAATCAATATTGAATCGTTATTGTTTCTTTTTAAAAATTCTTTTTTAAAAATTCTTCGAAAAATTTAAATCTAGAAAAATTATTATGAACCTCATTTATTTATTATTATTCTATACGATCAAGCCAACAATGTACTCAAAATGAAATTTTCTATAACTGAATTTTATTACAAAAAGAAAGAAATATCCAGATTGATGCTTTTCAAGAAATTATTTTAAAACAAAAAATCAAAATTTGCAAAAATTTTATATTCAAATAAATTTAAAAATTAAATTATACTTAATGTTTTTCATTTTAACAATAAATTTAAAAATTAAATTATACTTAATATTTTTCATTTTTACATAAATTAGACAAAAATAAATATTTGGTTTAAAATTTCCTTAACTGTTTATATATTATTTTATAAATATTATATATTCCTTATCTTTTTATATATAAGTATAATTAATGTTATTTCAAAAATATAAATATTCATATAAATTTTGCAATATTTATTTAATTTCTTGCGAATTCTTGAGAAATATAATTTAATCTCTTAAAAATAAATAACATTACTTGCAATTCATAGATTGAGAAACACTGATCTATCAACAGAAACGACTTATCTATGTTATCCGATCTTGAATCGATTTTCTTATCGGATTTCCAAATTCACACGACAACACGAGAAATATCTCGTGAACGAATTTCTCTGGACAATCGACAAAAAGACAAAAAGCTAAAAAGAAAGAAGAAATACCGAACCTTCGAGCAATCGGAGGTGCAGGCTCGTTCCTTCGGTCAGTTAAGGTTCGAGTTTCAAAATAAATGTCAATAAATCTAAGCGCGCCTGTCGGCTCAAATTAGATGTCGGCGTAACAATCGCCGCGAAATCGATACGAGCCGAAAGAACGATATTCGAGAGACCACGTAGTTCTCGAAGACAATGGTCGGTTAAGAGAAAAGAGTATCCATGAACACGAGCCACGCGTATCATAATTTCCACGCCTTCATCTATTTTTTCGTCTATGATTTTTTTCTTTTTCTCGAGGATCAATCGATTTTTTAGATGATGTTGCGCTTGATTTTTCAATAAATTTTTTGATAAATTCATTTTTTTTTTTTTGTTATATCTTCGATCATTCGATTCGACTTAAATAAATTACAACTAGTAGATTCTTTTTACTACTAAATCGACCTCCCTAGATAGATCGATTTCTTGAGTTGGATAATCCTGTTCCTGATTTTTCGATAGATTTTTCTCGATAAATTCATTTTTCTCTTGTTATATCTTCTTATAGTAACCGTTTATATATTTTTTTTTTAAACTTCAAATAATCCTGCAACTTATTTTTTGTATAGATAGATAGAAATATATTGTCTTTTCTAAATCAATCGATATAGAAATAAATCGATTGTTTAATCGATCTTTGCACTGTAAATGATGCACTGCGCTTGATTTTTCAGTAGATTCTCTTTTAAATGTTTAAATTTTCTAAAAAATTTTTGAAACATTTATAGATTAAATTTAATTTGATTCTTTATTATTATATATCAAATTATTATGACAATAGTCAAT